CACTTCTTGCATCTGAAGAAGTGAGGTTCTTACCCACGAAAGCTTATGCTCCCAATACTTCTGTTAGTCTTAAAGGTGCCACAGGACCCTCTGTTGCTTTTTCCCTTCAAGAGAGGGTATAAATCTTCTATTATAATTACTATTATTATTATCATCATCATCATCATCATTAGGAAGATGTGATTTTAGATGTAAAGTTCTTGACATTTGAGTCACATGGGAATCGTATAGTTTATAAGAACTTAACCTTTATCCTGCAGAGCAATCAATTAAGATCAAGATATTTGTGACCTGTAACAGAATCCTGGTAAAATACATACTTTGTTTACAAGTCCTGGGTAGTATTTTTGGAAGCCACCCCATGTAATAAGATAAAACATCTGCTCAAGTCAGGAGCCATGTTCAACAATTTAAGTGTAACATATTGCTCTTGCTCTGCATGTGCTAGTTCCACTGACACTAGTGGGATTTGCAAACATGGATCAAGGATAGTATATGACCAGTAAGAGGGTAATTTATTTTCTTTATCATTGGTAATTGTTACTATAGTTACTATTTTTTTCAGTGTTCTAGAAGAACAAATATACTTTGCAAACACTATTGAATTAATTAACATTGTTTATCTATGTTAAATTTTGGTATGAAACTATTCTGGTAGGCAGTATGGCCTAGCAGACCAACCATGCCTTGGGAGCAGTGCACTCTAGAGTTTAATTCAAGCTCTAATACCAACTCTGTGCATAACCTTGGACAAGTTGCTTAGACTCTCTTTCAATGGTATGCTGCAGGTGATCTTGGGAACTCACAGATGTCCCTTGTTAAAATTACAGCTTCATTTTCAATAGGGGTTTAGGGTGATTTGGTTTTTTGTTGTTGTTGTTTGGGTTTTTTTGGTCTTTAGAATTGAGCCCTTTTGCTGGAGAATGCTAAATTATCCATTCCAAGGATAACATCTTGGAGCTAATAAAAATATTATTGAAGAGCAAATTGTTTGCCTTTGCTGTGTACCTCACAGCACCAAATGTCAGATATTTACACCCACTCCCCAAAAAGAAATCACCACTCTCCTCTCTCCCATGGAAGAGTCTCCCCATTCCTATCCATAAGGTCTATGCATGTCCATACATATACATACACTTTTCTGAATTGCATCATATTCTATCAGTTTACTTATTTGAGGAAGTATCAGAGGGGTAGCCGTGTTAGTCTGAATCTGTAAAAAGTAACCGGGGGTCCTGTGGCACCTTTAAGACTAATAGAAGTATTGGAGCATAAGCTTTCGTGGGTGAATGCCCAC